GGGATGAGGGGTTGAGCTATGAGGATAGGTTGAGTAAACTAGGCCTATATTCTCTAGAATAAAGAAGAATTATAGGTGATCTTATAGAAACCTATAAGATTCTTAAGGATCTTGACAGGGTAGATGCCGTGAGACTGTTTCCCCTGGTTGCAGAATCTAAAACTAGGGGTCATAGTCTCAAGATTAAGGGTCAGCCTTTTCGAACTGATTTGAGGAAACATTTCTTCACTCAGAGGGTAGTGAATTTGTGTAATTCTCTACCCCAGAAGGTGTGGATACTCAGTCCTTGAACGTATTCAAGACTGAGGTTGATAGATTTCTAATGGATAGAGGGATTAAGGGATATGGGGATCGGGCGGGTGAATGGAATTAGGTTAGAAGATCAAACATGATCTTATTATCTTTGAAGCGCTCTGAGATGCTGTCCGGCGTGGAGGGTGCTATATAAATCCAAGTTGTTGGTGTTGTTGTTATTAAATGGCAGGGCAGGGTCAAGGGGCCAAATGGCCTATTCCTGCTCCTACGTCTTATGGTCTTATGGTCACTCTGTAAGCTGGCCATCCTCTCATCAGGATGGTGCATTTACAGCATCTACAGCTAGTTATTACTGTGAATGATACTGCAATTGTGTGATCGCTTTATTTTGTTTTGCTTCTAAATTGATGTTTCATTCACACTCCATTATTAAAAAATATCATGCGGTACTTGCATTCAACAATGTAAATAAAGTCGCTGGAATTAGGAAAAATCTGATGGAGAATACATTGTTGGCAGGATATCGTATTCAAATGGCATTACTTGATGCCATATTTACAACAGTAATTATAAGTACACATTCTGGGGCACTGAGTCACAGGTTGGAGCACAATCCTTTCCCCTGTAGGACAGTGATGTTTAAATGTAGGCCAGACTTGTGGAACAAGATCTCCTTTCTCTTTGATGGCTGTAATGGTTCACATTGCAGGTACAGACCTATTCCATCATGGAATGTAAGACCAAAGCACAAAGGTGCTTATAATGTTACACCAATTGACACTGGACTTTCAATCTCAGTTAGAGAAGGAACATGAATGGCTGGTTTAGGAAATCAAATTGTCACAATGCTATACTGTGGGATGGGATGCTCTTCTGAACCTGGGATTAAGACATCTTCTTGGCACAGCTGGAAGCTATTTTGTACATCTGCAATATCTAAACTATATATTCCCTTCCTCCTGGTACTTTGTGCCAAAAACAGAAAAGTATTCCATTCTCTAGTGCTGACTTCTCCCAACCTGATGAACATAAAAAAATCACTAATAAAATAAACCTATATTCCTGTTTTTAAATTAGTTTCCATAAACAGGCTCTGCACAGTAGACTGGCAATATAAACCGAATAATGTCATTTATGGTTCATACAAGGTTTAAATCGAATTTTGTATTGCCAGGACAGTGCATTATGTGCAAGGTTATGTGTTTAAAAAAACACGGGTAGCAATATATTATATATATATATAATAATAATCCTAGCAATTGATATAGCGCTTTTCACGTCGGGAGGACGTCCCAAAGCGTTTCACATAACACACTGTAAAGTGAATTGACTGTATATTTGTGGGCGAACGTGGCAGCCAATTGCGCACAGCAATGTCCCACAAACAGTCGTAGATTGAAAATGACCAATTTATTATTGTTTTTGGTTTTGGAGGGATTATTATTACGCATGTGGAGTAAGGAAACTTGCTCAAGGTTTCGCCCTGCCTGGAATTGAACTCAGGTCTCTCGTTTGCAAAGCGAGTGCTCTAACCACTGAGCTACAGGACTATATATATATAAAAGCTTAATATTAAGAATGATTTCAACATTAATATTCAGCAGTCGGCATATATCAAAATGAGACAAAAACAACCTTTTGTAATATTTCTTTTGTAATATTACCAGACAAAAATTGGGTGAAATTCCACCCAATCTTAGCCTCTAAAGGCCACTTTGTCTCAAAATTTAAGGTGGCTCAGAATTGTGAAAAATTCTTAAATTCTGTCTTAATTTGTAAACCTGCTTTTCACATTTCCTATAAAGAATTTCTTACAAATTAAGACTGAATTGAAGAAATTTCTACATTTCTTCATCATCTTAAATGTTAACATAAAATAGCCTATATAGACTCAGACTAGGTGGAATCCCTGTGCAACTTTAATTATAATCCTTGCATTAGCACCTAATCACGTCGTTCAGACATCTTCACAAAATATATTATAAAGTGAATTAACTGTGTATTTGTGGATGAAGCACACCAGCTAATTGCTCACAGCAGTGACTGACAAACAGTCGTGGATTGAGTGACCACATGTTTTTTTGAGAGGTTACTAGCTCCGGAAAGTGACCCGCCAATCAGCTAACAACTGGGTTCCTCCTTACTGCTAGGTAAACAGAGGTGTGTGGAATAAGGAAACTTGCCTAAGATTTCGCCCCGCCTGGGAATCAAATCCGGGTCCTCTCTCTTGCGAGGCAAGCATGCTAACCACTATGTGTGGACTCCACAACTGGTATTAATTCACATACAATGAACTGTAGCATTAATGCTCTATTTATGCCACAACTGTGTTGAGTATTAAATGTATTTTTGTAACACAAGCATATCTTATTTGCAGAAATTATTTGAAGGTGTAGGGAATGGGACTACTTTTTAATACTCTCTCATTTGCCAGACTACCAGCTCCTAAAACACTACGGGATAGATATCCCTAGCATCATACATAAAGAAATTTAGACAGTTTTCTGGCCGTAACCTCATAGACTTGCTGCCAAGTCAGTAACACCCCAATGCTCCAATTTACTGCATCTCACCCTCCCACTGCAGCAACTTAAGATACCCATCATGAGCAGGAGGATTAATCACAGTAACTGGACAAGGCTAAAATAAAACAACAACTTGTACTTATATGGAAAAAGCCAGAGGACAAAATGGCATAACAACAACAACAAAATTACATTTGTATAACCCCTTTCACGTTGGGAAGACGTCCCAAGGCGCTGGACAATTAGTGTTTCGGATGCGAGCTTTGGGTCAGGATCGGGGAGGGTGGAGGGCAGGGGGGGAAGGAGGGTGATCAAAGGCACAGTCGAAATGGGTCTTGAAGGAGGTTAGGGAGGGGGCGAGGTGGAGGGACTGCGGGATGGAATTCCAGAGAGTAGGGGCAGAGTGGCAGAAAGCTCGCCCATCAATGGTGGCCAGGGCGAGGCGGGGACATGTCGGAGCCCATCGAGCGGAAGGACTGGGCAGGTTAGTAGGGGGTTAGAAGGTCGAAGAGGTAGGGGGGAGCAAGGCCATGGAGGGCTTTGAAGGTGAGGTCCAGGATTTTGAACTATTTCCTCTGTGTGATGGGAAGCCAATGGTGTCAGGCGAGGATGGGGGTGATAGGGTCACAGAGCCTGGTGCAGGAGAGGACATGGGCTGCAGAGTTCTGGATGATCTGCAGCCTATGGAGGGAGGAGTTGAGGAGACCGACAAGCAAGGAGTTTTCATAGTCAAGCCTGGATGTTTGTTCAGGAATCTGTTCCGAATAGCCAGGTTAAACTGGTGTCAAGCTCCATGAGAAAGTTTGACATTTTGAATGTTGAATTTGCACTTTTACAAGTAGGTAGAATCTGCTTCAATTCAGTCAGACACAATAGGCTGAATGGCCTCATTCTGTACGATTCAATGAAAAGCTTTCGGCAAGTAGGACTACAAGTACAGATCACAAGTCCCAGTAGGTGTCTCAAATTATAATGTACTGATAAAGCTGCAATATAGGATACATTTACCTGTTTGATGGATGGTTTGAATCCCTCTTATTGGTTTCCCATTTCCTTGATGACATTGGACCTGGTCTCTCCTGTGGCTAAGACCAATGAGCTAACTACTCCCAGGTCCCTGCACCAGTTGTTCATTATTAAGCCTGTGATAGCAATTTGGTGACAGCACTTTCTTATTCATACTCTTTCACTGAAGAAATATACCTGCTGATCTTTTTTTTGCTGTCTCTGGCTACAATACAACAGTACCGTGGGGGTATGTATGGGGAGGGTGGAACAAACCTGTGTCCCTCCACAATGTGCCATAATGTGGTAGTGCTCCACTGTGCCATCTCAACATGTATTTCCTTTAAAACCATCATACTCTGTGAGTTATGGAACTCAAAGTATCAATTCAACTCACATGTGCTAAATGACTGAATATAGTGGGTTGTTTATCATATTTTCCCCAAATTAGTAAATTTAAGAGGTTTTAGAAAGGGCAAAATTACTTCACTTAAAACACTATTCAATATTAAATTTCTCACAATAGTTTTGATTCAAATTACAAACCAGGTAGCTTAAAATAACAATGTTCATCACAACTGTGATAAACAGAATAATTTCTGCTTAATGTGAAATAGTGAGTTTATTTCACATAGCAGATGAATCCAGAAAACCTCAGTCATTTACCTCTCTTCTTCCCCAATGCATGAAGTTGTATTTTATGTAACTATATGATTTTGCTAATCTGACTTACTCTGCGTAAATGTAACAATCTCAACTGACCATTTATTTCTCTCTTTCTCTCCAGCTCAAACTGGGAGCCAACTGTAGCTGGATGTCTGCACTTACTTTCCCAAACAGCAGTAAAATCCACACAGCAGGAAAACATAATCAAGTAGGCTCAGCTAAAAAAAACATGCAGATGCTTAACACATCATATTTAATATGCGAACATGAGTGATTGGGGGTTACCTTTTGGCCATTACTGTTGATAAAACTATTGCCTATGATTTTCTGGTTCATTGTTTGCTATCTACTGTACCAGGGAAGAAAAAAAAGTTTTTGCCTGGGCCAAAATAATCTACAGTGATTGCAAAGAGAAAGCAACAATACACAAGTCGCTCAATAACTTGCTTTCATAAGAAACGAGCCAAATATAATGAGTAACAGCCCATGTTGTAAAACAATCATTCAATTTTGCAAATAAAGTTTTAAAAAAAGTTATAATCCACCTACCGTCATCCAGATACAATTGGTCCAATTCTTGTGGCTCCTGCTTCACTGTGACTGGCAAGGGGGCCAAATTTTGATTGTTGTCTGGGTGCATTGAGGGCATCTCACCTGGTTGACTAGGCGGAGAACCATTTCTTGGGAGTTTCTGAGGTTGCTGCTGCTGTTGACTCATCACTGCTGAGATGGGTGGACTGAAGGATTGCACGTAGGCTGCCTCTGGGGAAGCAGAAGGGCCTTGAGAAGAAAGATTGTTGGGATACGGAGTCTGCTGGAAACCATGGGAACAGCTGCTATTCAGATGCTGACTCATTTGGGGCTGCATCATAACATGTGCTGAATGAGTGGGCGAACTTGGGTGCACAACCACAGGTCGGTGTACTTCATGAATAGTGGGAACTGTCACTCCAGACTGCTGGTGTACTAGCTGGACACTGGTTGTGTTGCTGACACACTTGTTGTAAGCGGAAGGTGTAAGCTCATGCTGTTTGTGACCGGAAGAGGGAGAGGTTGAAATCCCAGCGCTTCTCTGCTGACAGGAGGGAAAGCCACTTACAAGGCAGGAGCTGGGATCTGGTGCCATTTCTGGTGTCAGGGCTTGTTGAGCGTAATAAGTCTGGGACACTGGGCTTATCCCTTGATTGAGTGATCCATAGACTAAGGCAGGCTCGTAGTCATCTGTTGGTTCTGTTTTTATAACAGGAACTGGAATAAAAAACATGAGATAGATATTGAAGTGATTGTGTGGGCTTGTGGCTAGGATACTCTCTCCTAAATAAACATAAAATTCTCAATGAGTCTCTGTGTGTCAGTGGCCTCACTCTCCCACCCAATAAAAAAATGGATGAGTCATTCACACAAGTTACAGCTGTTTCTAATATTGAAAAAGCCTATTTTCTTTGGAATCACCCTCACCATGAATGTACTATGTAAACAAATGTTAAAGACACGCGTCACAACATAAGCCAGAGGCTCAAGGGCTCCATTAGTTGACATTCATTACCTGCATTAGAAACATTAAAATTCTAATATTAAAAGATCTCTTCCCCAACCCCCCGCCCACCCACACACACCCAACACATCTCAGCAAATTATTAATAAAAACCTTTTGAATCAAAATTAAATAATTATGAATACAAGAATAATCCTTGAATTTGATATAGTGCCTTCATGAGGGAGTGGGGGAAGGAAGTGTTTCAAAGTGCTTCACTGGATTTTATTGTAAAGTGCAGTGACTATAAGAATGTCAATTATCACATTATGAGGGCCAGGCTTGTGGAGAAACAATGCTAACATGTGAGCCAGTGCTGAATATCTAGTTGATACCGAATCTCATTTTACATAAAATGTTTCTCCTATTTTTCTTGCCTTTGCCTTTCATATCTTTCTAACCCTCCTGTGCTCTATTTCGAATGGGAAATGTGACTTGCATTCGGTTCACAAGATTGGTCTAGATGAAGAAGACCCTTTGGCCTCTCTGAACTCAACTCTCCAGAACACCCACCCTGGTGTCCCCCCATTACTGCATCAAGCTGCCTTTTACATGAATAACTGAATGGAGTAACTCAATATTATGTTTAATGGAGTATCGTTTCAGAAACCCTGAATAATTTTATGTTCTTGACTATAAAGTAGCAAACTGACTCAGTCTAGAAACCCCTGTAATTTTTGCCTCACTGAGATGAGGAGCTTGACAAGCAGCAAAAGGGAAATAAGTGTGTGTTCTAAATAAAAACATTTGTACAATAACTACATGCCTGTTAATAATATAGTGACATTGAATTTTGTTTTGTTTTTGGTGTATAGTAGAGCATGATAAGTTCCCATAATGGTTAACTGTATTTAATTTTTGGGGGGTCAAAACCCCCAAATAAAATGCTCAGCAACACAAGGTAGTCTGATCATTCTGCAATCAGATTAGTGAGAGAGAAACTGATACAAGCTAATTGCGTCTGTGAAAGAGAAAACTTCATTATATGCACAGGAGGGAAAGACAAAAAGGGTTGCCTGAGAGAAAAAGAGAGCGAAAAAAACAGCTAGCACAGTGTGGTATGTTAATAACAATCTGATACAGATATCAGCTCTCTCATGTGCATGAATCCATTTTAGCCCTAAGCAACCTATTTTATGCTGTGAAAATCCCACAACAAATGTACACCTGCATCCATCCAGGAGACCTTGCGATTCTCCCCTTCCCTCCTTCAATTTTTCTTAATGGTGCATTTGGTCATCTTCCCAACCCCCATCCTCCACCCCTCTTGGATCCTACCCCACTCAGTTCCCACCACCAGCTCAAGTGCCAATCTTGGACTGCCCAGGGCCTTGGGCCATCCTCCTGACATGAAAGGCTCTATACAAAATATAAATTTGTTGCTGTTGTTGAAAGTTACAGATTTGCCTGAATGATTGGGGAAATGAGCCTGAATAAAATTATAGGATGGAAATGGAAAACAAAACTTGGAACTGACAAGTTTTCACATGCTTCTTTGTTGTATCAGAAATACTGCAATCACTGCCACATCGTTCTCAGTTCTGAAGTGGAGTCAAGCATTTCATCTGCTGGTTAAAAAACTGCTGCTGACTTGTTGGTGTAATACAACCCTACACATTGGGGTCCATCTTAAACTGATTGATAAAAATAGCGACTTTTTGTTGAATGCATTTTGATATGGAGAAATCTTCAGTATTTTTAGTGATCAGTGCAAGATAAACCTTTTCCTTTTGTTTGTAGATTATTTACTTCTCGTTTGTAGTATCAAATAATTTACTTTTTTAGTGGAACAATATAGCTATTTCAATATTTCCAAGCTTTGTGGTACATTTTCATTTAAAAAATTATAATAATTACATTAGTCCTTAAAATCCTTAAAAGATACAAAAAAGTAAAGAAAAACAGGTAAAAACTTCATTATATGCAGCAAAGTCTGTTCATTATCTGGAAGCAAGTGGTGATCCCTATATTTTTGGGATGTGACTTGCAAGAAATTGGTTAATACACATAAGCAGTTTGAATTTTTCAAGGCACTTTAACAGTTAACAGATGAAACTATGTAGAATGAAGAAGCACCTGTGTTTATAGAAAATAATCCAAAATGTTGAACTGAAGAGCAAGACAGGCATTGACATTTAAACAGAGCTACGCCTTAGACAAAATAAACATCAATGGTCCAGGAGCAATACTGTAACTTCATACAATTACTAACTAAACCGATTTAAACTTTTAAGTTTAGTTCCAGTGACAGGTTCTAAACACATCAAACTTTCTTGTGTACTTAGAAATCCGAAGCTACCAAAGCTGTTTATATTCTCTACAGACTAAGTGCCTGCCAACTAGTCATAAGATTATGTACTAATGCAAAGCTTTCATTACTCTGAATCTGCTCAGCAACTTCACTCAACTGTTTCCAGTCTAAAGCGCAAGGTGTGTGCTGCAAAAGCCCTCACTATTTAATTAAATGGGGTCCAATTTGCAGATTTCTAATGGAATTCATTAATATCATCTCCGAGTTCAAAATAGGGAATCCTGCCGATGTCAAGTGAATCAAGCCAAGCAGTGGGAACCCCACTTCTATTTTATAGTGTGTCAGAATGGGGCTCCCATGGGTGGCTGTAACTGATTTTTTAACCTGGAAGTTCACAATTACCTCAATAGTGAAACATTTCAACCATGGTTGGTGGGGGGGAGGGGCGTACGGTTATTCCTAGTTGCGGCTTCTCATTGTTGGCATCTACACATACACAACTCCAGGAAAGGCCATTAAACAGCACAGGAACTCTGGTTAACTTTTCCTTCTTCAACCAAAAAGCAGGGAGGGAAGAGAAGGGAGAAACAGAAGCAAATAGCAGAGGTCAAACCTTGGATTTTCTTATTCTCTAGGGCTCAGTTGCTCATTGAATAAACTCATTGAGCAGTCAGGAGAAGCCACCCAATATCTTTCTTTATGAATGTTACAAATATGCAGCCTTTAAATAGAAAGCGTATGATGTGCAAATTGTCTTGCCAACGAGTTGAAAAACAAAACCAGCAGTAAACAACAGTTGAAACAGCATTTTAAAATTAATAAAAAGTGAAAAATATTCAGTGTGGCATTTTATGCTCTTATATATACTGGTACTCTGTATCAAAATAGACGATGAAACAATTTCTTTGCATTTGATATAAGGCATTCCACTTTGGTCTATTTTTATTTGGGAAATTGTAAGATAGGGCACTGGGAGAAACTCCCTTTTCCTTTTTGAAGAAAGCCATGGAGTCCACCTGAACTGTCAGATTAACATCTAATCTCAAAAACAATACTAGTTGTACAGGAGAAGGAGTGGCTTCAACTTGACATCTATTTTTTGCACTAATTTGCTTCTTTGTGAAGGGCACTTTATAAATGCAAGTTGTTGTTGCGCTGCTGATAAGAATCCAAATAACAGTTTTGTCATTTTAGTGCATGGATATTCACAATGTTCACTCGTTATAAAATATTAGTACTGCTTACTAATGCAAGCATGGGATATGTGAACTAATAAATCTGTGTCTTATATAACATGGTGCACTTTGCTCCAGGATTAAAAGTCCTTCAAAAATAAAGCCAAAATATTTCCTGTGGAACCCTTGTCATGGAAGATTACCTCAACTTGGTTATCTCTCTTACTAGGTCACCAAGCAAGGAGGCAAACAGTTACAAAGTACTTCCCCCAGAAGAAAGACAAGAAATATATATAGGTGAAGTCAAACTGCACTGTTCATACATGTCTCCTAATGGCTGATGTATCAGTGGCAAAATCAATGTCCAAGCGCCAAGACACTCTATCATTCAGAACATTTATGTGCTAACATTGGGGTGGATTGCATGTAGAAGAAAATACCTTTGATTTATTAAGTAATGATATTTAAAAAGTCAACAGATCTCAAAATGTAGCAATTTCAAATAGAATTCCTTTAATGAATCCAGAACTACATTACTCCAACATATGGAAACTCTCTCTGACATGATCCATTCCAGAACAGAGATCCTGCAAGTTAACGTGACATACTTCTGGTTTCCAGAAGATATACCAACTCACATTGTCTAACTGAGGAATTCCATTCGAAATCACTATGTTTTAGATGCTGACAGACAGTAAAGAAAAAAACTAAATTTACGGTTTCAACTTGTGGTCTTAATAAAACAATCTATATCACAGTAGCAAAAACATTGAGTGAATTCACCACCAAAGTACAGCATTAGAAATAATCTTTCATTCTTAGAATATACTGGATGTAAAATAATACAATGCACCAATGTATAACACTGTTTCTAGTTCAGGGGATGAATGGTTGTTGAATGAGTATATATCTGTGATCACAGGATCACAGCCAGAGTCTGACTAACACACATTACATTTATAAATGTTAAAACACTAGAATAACCAGCATGTGAACTGGAAAGAAGCAGATTATGTTATTGGGAAACACTCAACAGATTTGCTTTCTTGCACAATGAGGCATAACCGGGTCTTCTGAATACAGAATAATAGTGCTAACTTAAAATCACCTAAGTGATATAAGAGCCCTCAACTGAAATAAAATATGTTGATTAGGGTAATAGGTATCATTACATACAGAGCCAAATTTAATAATATTTACCACTAATAAAAAAAGGTTACCATGTTTTTTCTTCATGTGGTAACATTGTCAATATTGTGTTTTTCTTATTTTTGCAAGTACCATGTTT